TTACCAATATGGTTGAAAATTGCTGCGGAGGTGTAGCTAAGAGCCAGGAGAGGGATATAGGATACAATTTATTCATTTTTTTTTAAATTATTCTCTCTCTTATTATACTCGATTAAATTTGGAATTCGTATAGAACATAGTCTGAACGAACACATACGCTACACTAATTAAGTTTTTTTTATATATCCACGCGGACGGAGTCGCGGGCGACAGCTAGTAATGTCCATAAACCAAGTAAATAGTCTGTAATTTTCTCGTATATTTTCATTAGACATGTAACATAGTATCTTGTCACAAGACATCATTAGGCAACGTAACAAGACGCTTCTCAACAAGCTCATGTAATAAATCCCTAATAAATTAGATGTGTACACGTTTTCTGTGAGCAAAATTTCTGTATAAAATATATCGACAACCTTGTCATTATCTTTGACAAAATAGAGATGTTTTAAGCCAGAATTTTAGTCACAAGAATGGGATTTTTATTTGATGATTTAATTTTATTTTCTAGACAAAATACATGTACATACATATATATTGCGTGAGCGTCGGTGGCTCAGGGGTCAAGCACTTGACTTGCAATCTGCAGATCCTGGGTTCGATTCCCGCCATGTGTTTTTCGATTACTGATTTACATATGTACATTTATCCGACGTTTTTACGGTGAAGGAAAACATCGTGATGCTACGTGCACATAACTGAGAAGAAATTCAAAGATATGTGTGAAGTCAACCAACCCGCACTTGGCTATCGTGGTTGACTATGGCCTAGTCACCCGTAACTTAGGGTAGGCTTCGATCCTTCGGTGGGGACGTATAGTGAGCTGATGATGATACATAATTTGATGGATATTTTGTAACTTAGACTTTGATTCACTTAAATACTTGTCAAATATGTAAGCCACTTTCAAAATCATATTTCTCCTGAAAATTTACTGTACTGCAAAATGTATAGACATATGTGTTGTAAGTAGGTATATTAAATATTAAATAGTTAACAAATATTACTTTTTAATTGTTTATTCTAGACAAACGAAGTCAGATCGAGTAGCTAGTCAATTAATAAAGCTGTAAGTACAGCCATTAGTTACGTAACAACAGATTTTTTTATAAAGCCGAGTCTCAAAGGATAAATAAATCAGGTTTCCTGGAAAGGAATATTTATTTCTGGATTAAATTAAATGGAAATTCTTTGTACAAGTTCATTGAAGAAGCTTTCATTTGATGTTAAAAGGGTTCGTGTATTCCCAGGAATTTTCTTTTCTTTAGAAAATATCGATAGAATAAGTATATTTTTTATGAACAATAAATATTATTATTAGAAGTCGGGAAAGAGAATACAAAGGAAATAGAAACGAGGTGATAAAGTTCTACACCGCGGGATTCGAGCTTTCTTTCTCTACATTAGGGGCGACTAGGTCTTAGTTAACCACGCTGGCCCAGTACGGGTTAGTTGTCGGGAATGGTACGTTACGAAAACGCATATTGCAAATATTCGTGATACACTCTCTGGACGTATATAATTTCCGTGAAATTTCAACGACGAAATACATATTTTAAATCGTATATTTGTCTCTATTTTAGAAAGAATAGCTGCCGACCTTGAATCCGTCCGCGCGAAATTAAAAAAAAAACTCATAGAGTAGCCTATGTTCTAGTCGTATGTGTGCCAAAAATCATCGAAAATCCGTTGAGGCGTTCCGGAGATACCTTCAAACGGACATCCATCCATCTATACATTCGCATTTATAATATTAGTAAGATGTGAGGGATGATATTATGTTTATATACAAGTGTTTAGAAATCCATACTAAAGTTTGACCTCTGTGGACTTTTGTAGTATACTCAAGTCGAGTATCGAATTCAAAGAGAGTGTGGTCAGATCGATCCACTTTAACTATACGGTCACCTTTCAGTACTACGAAGCTTTCAAACCTCTTGATTATAAAGTGCTTCTAAATATCTATAAATAACATCTGGATTAGTTTACATTATAACAAAATAACTTAGCGTTTATCTAATATAATGTATGTTTCGCTTGAATCTGCAAAACAAACGCTACACTTTAATCTGACGCCACTTCAATTTTAAATGGAAAAGCTTCGCATTTGTTTCTGACATTTTCAATTTTCTTTCTAACGAAGCGATTTTCGGGTGAGCATAGAACGCAGAGCGTCTTTGCAGATTTGAATTCTGTACTGGTTTTTACATAAAAATGCATTTTAATGTAGTTTTTAAGATCCATTATTTATCAGAAGCAATATATGAAAAGTGGAACTGAAGTAGATGATTTATTCAGTTACAAAAAATTAAATACTAAGTTTTCTGTGAAAACATTTAATTACAGTTTTTTAAACTGTTATATGTTTTGTTGGTAAAAGAACGGTCGCACGGCGCTCCACGTGGCGTGCGAAGGCGACCACTGTGCGGCTGCTGCGCTCTTGGTATCACGCGGCGCGGCGCGCGAGGCGCGGGATCGCGCGGGCCGCACGCCGCTACATGTCGCCGCCGCGCACCGCCACACCGACCTCGTGCGCGCGCTACTCGACGCACACTGCACCGTCGACGCCACTGACAATGTAACTGCATGCTGCATTTATGTGCGCCTGGTTCTTGAAAGTATATTTCAAAACAAACTGGACTTTGTTGGAACGTGTGACCACTCTATTTATTTATTATGTTTTTACTTTTACTTATTAAATACAGAAAATATACCTAGATATAGTTTTGTGTTTTGTATACAGAACGGTGTGACTGCACTGCAAATGGCTTGCGCACAAGGCTGCAGGGGAATTGTGGAGCATTTACTCGAATTCGGTGCCGACGTCCATTTGCAAAATAATGTGAGTCACCCGAAAATTGTAGTATAACACGAATTAGAGTAAACAAGCCCTTTGTTTATTGTTTAAACTTTATCAGGTTGGGTCATCGGCACTGCACGCGGCGTGCGCGGCCGACGCGGCAGACATCGTGGAGTTGCTGTTGGCACATGGTGCTGATCCCGCATTGACTGATAAGGTATCTGGCATCCTGCTATCCTGGTAGAATGCTTGTATCTACCTTTTATGACGAAAAACTGCAAAAAAGGTTTGTAGGTATCGAGAAACCAATCCAAATGTAATAAAATTATAGAAGAAGATTGTGAAAATACTTCTGATTACTTCTTAAGTTAAAAAATGTAAAAAAAATTGTCAAAAATAGAATTAGGGGACACCCGGGTTTGAACCGGGGACCTCTCGATCTGCAGTCGAATGCTCTACCACTGAGCTATATCCCCGTACGATGGCTCGTATGAAATTTATCTTCAAAAGCTTAACTTTTATGAAGTTTATAATTTCTTAGTCCATATATTTAAAATAAAATTGCTTAAATAACCAATATAAGAAGAAAGTGGAGATAATAAATAATATAACAAAGAACCTATTAGTATAAACTCTATTTTAACGAACAATATATTCGCAGTGAATATTTTCATAAACCTCTGGAAATCAAGGGAAAGATTCCAAAGAAAAGAGGTGGTGTTTTATAGGCCGTTTTTAAAACCTCCAACCATTCAACCTTTATTGAACAAAAAAATAACACAAAACAAAAATGTACTTGCTCCCAACAAAGAATGTTATGCAATGAACATTGCTTAAAAGATACCAGGGCGACATATCCACGTGAGTGTGTTGTTTCTACGTATTGTAAATCGCAGTGTGACGTCACTCGGTTGTTTTGATACGCGAATCGCATATATTTGCGTAATACGGCAAATCGGACTGTTATTTAAATTGTAGTCATTCCTGTTTATATTTATGAAATAATAATAATTTCTCTTATCGCTATCATACATACATATTCCTATGCCTACACGAAAAGAAAAAAATGGCATAAATACAGCTTTCAATTTCTCGACAATTTTATACTGCAGTACACTTACAAATGAGTAAATAATTATGCCGTAGCATGAACGGAAGCTTGGTCTACAGTGTCATTCATATAGGTAGGGCTGCCACTTGGATATTTACTCGAATTATTCGTGTTTGCAATGTGCAAATTCGGGCTGTGGGTTCGACATCGATATCAATCGGTCAGAGCAAGATAAGACACAGGATGGCTATTTTATCACTTTATGATGCGCTGGACGAAGAAAGAACTTGTGGTTGTGTTTATTGTGATGCATCAAGCAGTAGACGAATTGCCCGTATAGAAGAACTATGTTGCCAGACTCAAAATTCCTTAAGAGCTGACGGCCAACTTCCATCAGAGAGAGGAGAAAGAGGGAGAGGTACCTACAGTCAGAGAATGATTAAGAATGGATGTTTTCATTTCGTTGATCGTTAAGGAGTTTGACAAGTCATTGTAGTCGATAGTTTTGTTTGCGATCTGCATTCGAAACTACGTTAATTGAAAGTTGATAGCCCTATATACAGAGGACGGGTTTGATGAAATTTGCATGAGGGGGCGGCGGCTGGGTTCGTGCATAATTGACTAACGCACGTCCAGCCACGGCTCCAACATTGTTGTTAGTAGTTAATGTCTTATTTGTTCTGTTTTAGAAATTTACTAGAGTAAAATAAGTAATGTATTATTTTTCTATATTAGTATTGATTCTCTATCTCGTTTCAATTGAACCCCTTAATTATGTAATAAGCAATGTCTGCCATATGTGTGTGGTTGCTATTTTTTTAACTTGTAAGAACGAAAGAACTAATTTGATATTTACATGAATGGCTTCGGAAATATAAAATATCTGAGCAAAACCTTGCTCTTACAAATTACGATGACCTCATTACTGCGCGGGTAATTAATGATCTGACGGTTAAGCAAAGTTTTATTGAATTGGAATATTACCTACTCAGCTATGATACCCTAGTACATTAGGTTTTAAATACTTTTTTTAATATACGTTATTTATTACGAACACGAAAGTGTATAAATTAAAAAAATATGTAGTTATTAATTATTGCAGTGGTCTCAGTCACCGGTTAGCGTGGCGGGCGGTGCGGGGGGCGCAGCCGAGTCCCCGCCGGAGGGCTTCAGGCGCGCCGCGCGGGGCTCCTTCTCCGCCATACTGGACCTCATCACTGCCACGGCCAACGTTGACATACATCAAGTAACATCAAACAAATTACCCTAGTTATATGTTTAAACAGATGAGTGCAGCAGGGGACAGATCATTGTGACAACTGACTATTAATGAGGGAGGCCTAGGTCAGGAAATGGACTATGTTTGACATCTATGTCCAATTTTAGCAAGATCCATTATGGAGGTACCTTCTAAGAAACATCCATCCATTTAAACATTTTCATTTATAATATTAATTATTATAAGTAAGTTAGTACAAACCAGTAGGGGAGTGGTCGTTTCTAAATTCATTGTAAAGTTTTCCTTTATCCTTAGCTTTTATCGTATGTCAGTTAAGAACTTTTCAACAAAGAAAACCACCGACTTTGAGTTAAGGTCCTATGTAAACATCACACAGAATTGCTTTTTAGCTAAACTTATGTGAAACATTCAATATTAGAAGGTCTAATTTAGACGGTAGTTCCTCGAAAGTTGGCCTGAACTAAAAAATGTAACAATTTGTTGTTTAAATTCTATAGATTTAAAAGCTTATTTTAAAGGAACATTTTATAATAAATTTTATCGACATAATCGGACTAATTCAGACTCACAAGGTAATCTGTTTGCTTAGTTTGTTAGTTGAGTGAACAGCTTGTTATGAAACAAGTAAACATTCGTTTAACTCGCAATGCGCTCGCCTTTGTGTCCACAAATCCCCTTATTTGTGTCGGCTGGCAAGGTAATCCCCGGCTGTACTCCCCAGAGAGCGGTGAGCAATACTTAAGCCTTCATTCACGTTATTAGTTATAAATTTAAGACAAATTGCACAGACATAAAATTGTAAATTACTGCAGGCTTCTATTATTCCATTTAATCCAGTAACTGTTGTTTATAAAAAGTTTCCAATAAAAATAACTATAGTGAATCAGGCAGTTAGTAATTTATAAAAAATGAAATCTGAACTTGTCCTTCGAATAATTATTTTGGCCCCTAAGTTGCCGCAACATTTACATTTAGTAAAGCTTGTGGTAATCTTTTGAAATTCTTGGTTAAGTTGAATCCTGGATTATACGCTTACGCTTTCAGTTTGCAACCAAGCCGTGCTTGCACGGAGATTAACTTGTTACAAATGTATCGCGCTAAATTACCTGCGAACTGCGAAAACCGATTAAAATTTTATACAAGTTTAAATTTTTATCTAGTTTAATCTTCTTTATATATTTTACTATATTATAAATGCGAAAGTTTAGATGGATGGATGTTTGAAATATCTAAACGTCATGTTATTAGGAACGACGAAACAAATCTCTATGAAATTAACACAAAGGCTACTTATAGCCCCGGAAACGTGCACGGTTCCGTGGGATAAGTTATATTGATATATTTACTCGATCACTCCGCAACGGTTTAAACCAACATCTTAAAGAAATTCGGCATAGATATGTACTATATCTCTCGATATAATCTCGAGCGATACATGAGATACTTTTCTCTCCTTTTCGAATTTTGGCGCTTTATAAAGGGGTTAGAGACTTTACAGATCTACTCATCGATTCAAGGATTATAATCACTTATATGGGCTATTTTCATGCATCGTAAAATGCAAGTACAAAATACAACGATTGAGAGGAAATCGATGTTGGTAGCCGGATATTAACAATACTATCGCATAGCGTCCACATGCTGTGTGCTAATTAGATAGGATTCCCCAACATATATCAGCACTGTTCAAAATTAATTAACATGTTCAATGTCACTGACTTGAAAGGCGGAATTTATATTTTCGTGCATGAAAATCGGAATGGCATAAATACGTGGCTATGCCGATCCGAAATGATCTTGAGAAAATTATGAAATTAAAAATGGTTTGTTACATCTTGTATTTACCTAAAATGCTATCATGTTACGAGTACCTAATAACATTGAAACGGTGTATCATGAAAACATGTTTAACTTTCAACAAATTTTGTTCGTCTTCTTACTCACAAACTCTATCAACATCGCTCCATGTTACAAGGCGTTTATTTACGACGAAGTTTATCTTTCGTGCTTTTACCAGTTATAGGTTTAATGTTATAATCTCATTTTTTTCATAAGAACCCAATATTTTTATACAAGTATTTTAGTAGTGGAAATACAGGATTATCGATAGGAGCCTTTGCTATCATGATAAATTTAAAGGACTGTAATAAGTGTCCGTTGACAACTTTGTATTTGTGTTCTATATAATAGTATATTGTTGCAAACGATCGCATATTTTCAACAGGATCATTCCGAAGAGTCGTCTACACCGCGCACTGACGACAAGTCCGGTGGTCATTCACCCGCTCCTAGCGAAGGTATCATCTGAAGATGTCTTGATAAATCCTTATGAAACACTTTTGTTCCTTAGGAACAGGAAATTTGTTGGTAAATTAGGCAAGTAACAATACTTTTATAAGAAAGGGGCGAAGTCTATGTTGTGATAGAACTCAAATCAAAACTTAACTATTTGAACTGATTGAAAACCTTATCGATTTTCTTTTGTGACTGAGTTGTCGCTATTTGCCTTGAACAGTGCATTTACAGTTTCACCGGGCTTGAGGTGGATAGGGCATGTGGCACTTAGCCTAAACCTCGTTTTTTGTCGGAGTTGTGCAGACGGTATGTTGTATATGGTACGGTTTATGATCTCGAAGGTACGGATGGCGACGAAAGGTGATGGTCGGCCACAACTCTTCTTGATCGACTTGCGCAACGTGGCTTCGCTGCAGACACCCGCTTGGCTCTACCACCAACTGGTAAACACATAAATGTCTCCACTTTACGATTCTGAATTCGGTAGTTAAACTTTATTGAAAATGTCCAACTGCTGCTCATTTCTTGTTTTCCAGGTTGCGCCCGCTACAGAGAGCTGTGTTACCGTGCGGCACAAGCTCACTTACCTGATGAGGTGCCGCCGCGGCCCTGCGATTGTATCAACTGCACCTCACGCCGCAATTCCTGCGAGCCCTGATACCAGTTCAACGTACAGCCTACACGGCCAACGCAATCAATATTACCACGACTACTTGAATAGTATCCAAAATGCGTTCCTTTGGTGAATTTGCGTAGTTTAGTACTCCTTCGGCAATTTCACAATTTGTTGTGTATAACTTATTTAGAACAATTAAAATTTTTGATGGTGTAAACTATGTTTGTCTATGCTATAAATATAATGTGTAAATTTCAAGAAGGTGCAAAGTAATGCGGCTAATTTCAGTCTCCATGACAGGTTTTCTCTTTCCTCGCCTTTGATAAAAAATTAGCAATTTTTTACGCTTAGCTTTTTCTTGTTGTCTTTACATTAGTGTGGCCGTGAGTTTCCCATTGTGTTAGAGTTCCCTAAAACTTCACAATTTCTTGGATAGGATATTAAAAAAACGGTATGCATCTTTTTATTATATCCTTTTCCTGGCTCAAGCTTATACTCTAGTGCCTTACCTTGTACGATAAACATATATTCCTCACGTACAGACCTAAACGCACAGCAACGTTTGTAGAATCCAAAATGCGTAATTCTTCAAAGCCTGTACAAATATTTTTATTGTATTTTAAGATATAAATGTGTCAAATTAAATTGTCTGTCCATTGGTATAACATGTTAAGACAATGAACTTAATAGCCTAGGTAAGCGTATATATATATATATATATAGAAATAATTATAAAATGAAACTTTACACAATTTATTAAGACCAATCGTTGCTACAGAAGAATTTATCGTAAAAACTTATTTAACCACTAATTACCTTTATATTTAAATTAATGTCAACGTAACTTACAAAATGTATTGCTAGTCTATGGATCTTTTATTAATCTATGGTTAGACATTTTTAACTGTTTAGCTACAAATTTTATCGCTTAGAGCCTAATAAAACTAGATATATCTAGATTAACTTTAAAATATTTTTCCTATTTATAATATTTGATCTTTGTGCATCTTTGAATTTAATATTCAATTGAAAATATGAAACGTACGTTCCTGCGTACATTTGTTATGCTAAAACTATGTATAAATATATTTAATACATAAAGGATCTTATTAATTTTATTTCTTATCCAACTTTAGTTAATTTATTTGTAGAATTAAACATAATAACCATTGTCTAGTCTCATTACATTAATGAGAGAAAAATACTCGAAAATATCGTAAAATCATTAAAAAATACACTGACATTGACTAAATTAGTAATTAAGTTAATATTTTTATAAATAAAAAGACTAGATTAAGGTAAGGTAAGGACGGGGACGCGGGAGGCGACGCTTAAATTTAAATAAAACTTAAATTTATTAGTTACATTTATTTTAATGAATAAAAAGAAATCAAATGTGAACGATGAGATAGGATAGAGCATGCCGCAAAACTATTATTGAAACTCCTAAACGGAGGACGTCAAAACAGTAGTTCATGATGCTCGAAGGACCAATATTATAATTTCTTCTTTACCTGGCAGAAATGCAACAATTTTATGGTTTACTCGCGGGTTTGCGTGTCATGCGGCATATCCATCGTTATCCACAATCAAAAATTTACGTAACTTGAACATGCTTCTAGCACTCTCCTAATTTTTCATAAATGCAATTCCTTAAACATATTTTGATGGACATAAGTTGGTGAAGTCAATTGACTTGTTAATCATCTAAGTATCTTATTAAGAATATTTCATATCATTATAAATTTACAAATACATTGGACATTTTATAGTTTAGAACAGCTGAGGTTTTTGTTGGTTAAAGCTAAAACAAAAATAAATTAAAAAAATAATTTTTCCCTTTACAACAACCTAAATGAATATATCGAAACGTTCAAATTTCATTTTTAATCTTCAGTACAGGTAAAGTTCAATTTACGTTAAATATATTTTAAGAGATATGGTGCATTATAATAGCATTTTTAAAATGACCGGCACAAAACATATTGCTTTAGTTTAATTTCTGAGTCAATACATACACCAGGCTTAGCCAAAGGGATATAACCGAACATAAGCAAAATTAATGACGTCAAATAGTTGAAATTGAATTCATTATAGTGTGCAGTAAAGGGAAAAACTAGAACGCATAAGTACGAGATCTATTGTTTAAGTGTAATACGAAATATAAAAACTATTAAATAGTAGTTGGGATGGTCGTCATAGACTGCAGTAGAAAAACATTGTACTAACGTATGGAATAAAATACACGTGTATAATTTTTTTTTTAAATAGTATCGCTAAAAGTCTTACACTCTATGTCATGTGGTTTAACCAAACTAGCCAAGGAACTATCTGTTAAATGAGGACAGATATAAAAATAAATGTACAAAACTGTATCTTGAATAAGTTTGATACAACTATTAATTTCAGTTTCCAAAGCCATTGAAACCGTCAATCATCCAAACAGAAAGAAAATCATCTAAAAGAAAAAATCTATTATACTAACTTATATCTGGGCACGGTCTTATAACATTTGAGATAATTGTCTTCTAAACATCTTTTGAATTCCTCGTATCATCACGTGCAAATTATAAAACTTCCAAAAAAAAACACCAATAATAAACGTCTTTACAAAACTCGCGCCCAGTAAAAATCATTTACAAACTCAATGATTAAGCGAATACAAAAACTATAATACAAATATTGATATGTCGGTTCTTTACAAATTGTGCCTGTCAAGACATTTCCTTTGACATAAGTACAGATGGAAAATAACATTGTACAATGACAGGATAACAGGAGAGAACCGAAACCGTTTTAATCAAAAATACCATAGAGGTATGGGGATGGTGAGCTGTCACCAATGGTTAGCGCCGATAAGGGTGGTAAGAGGGCGTGGATGCTGTGCCCCCTGATGACGAGCCGTGGTAGCTGCGCTTCGATGACCTCTGGTACCCGTCTCCGGAGCCGCCGGTATATTCATAGTCGTCACCTATACCCACAAGTCAATATTACACACGAAAATATAAAAAATTATAAAAAGCAACAGATTAAAAGCTTGTTTCCATAATGGTAAAAAAACTTACCGCACCACACGCCACTTCCTTTAACATACCTTAAAACCTAACATTTTTTATATAAGTTATCAGAGATATCCTTTTTAGAACTGCCAGCGCCATGAGATACATTTTTAGTGTGTAACTAAATCTACTTTTATGTGTCTTATGTCTTACATTTACAATCTAATAATAATTTGGTATGTCTATTTTTACTTGCATCTAGATGCATTTTGGTTTAGTAATCAGATTTGTCTAATGTCTGTTAAAGGTTCTTCAAAATAAGTATATTTATATAAACTAGGTTTATAGGATTCTAGATATCGTACTCTTTAAAATCTTGTCTATTCTATTATCTATTGAGGTTATGGTCAACATGACCACTCATTTTCATGTCCCATTCAAGATGAAAGTGGTCTAACTATAGCTGTGAAAAACGCTACAAATTGTGATATGATGATGACCTAAAAATAAATGAGTAAAATGTAAGAAAATCTATTTGAAAATTATACCCTTCTAAAAGAATTATCTAACTACCGCTACTGTACTTTTGAGGGTAGTTTACAAAGCAAGTGTTGTATAAGAACCTGACGCCGAGGCTGACATGTCGGACACGTTACAGAACGACGGTTGCGGCGACACCATGCCGCAGTACATTAATGGTACTTGCTGTAAAATCATTTGAAAACATTGTACTATAGCTTTTATCCAGTAACTACAATGTATCATTGATCACCTAAACGTCAAGAATGAATCTGTGTTCAAGATTTAAGTTTTGTATTTGCATCTCGTTTCACTTTGGTTATTAGTTTGTTTACTTGGAAACAAGATGGCAGTTATTTATTTAGACACAAGATGGCGTCAAAAATGTTGCCAGATACAAGGTGCAAATTATTGAATTGGGACTTCTTGATATATTTGCCTAATAGAATAGAGTAAAAATCTTTAAGGTACAGTTTAGTCGATCACATTACCTAATTTTCTTGGTATAATATAATTTTTTTACAGTTGTAAAAAGTTTATTTTACTGGTAATATTGTGTAATAGTATATTTTTATGTATTTAACCTGTGGGGGTGCAGAGATGGCTTCATTCATCTGCGGTATCTGTGCGTACTTGGGGCTGCCAGCGTTGCTTCCTACACCATCACCCTCTATTGTAAGGAATCAGGTTAAAAGCTGACTACTAAACAACTCATATGTTCATAAATGTTGCACTATTGACTATTGTATGACTGGGTTCAATGACCCTGAGATAATTACGGTCCTTCGAGTCAGACTTTGTCTGCACTTATTTTAGTCTGTGGGTTTAGCTTAAGTATCAGGTAGTTTTTGGTCACTGGCCACTTAACATTAATTTGCCGATAGATATGTTAAAGTTCAGCAATGAATCATGTTGCTTACACTGAACCAAATTTGATATTTACTACACCTACTTAGTTTGATTTGCGTAATTTAGGGATTAGGTATTAAAAACATAAAAAATAGGAAAATTAAATAAAATATTTAAAAGGGGAGATGATGATTTCGAGAAAGTACTAATCGAATATTGCATCCTCTGTTCATTATATGGACTTTATAAAGCTAAACAATAAGCTATTCGCAGCAACAATTAAATAATATTTTGTAAAATATTGCGGTTTTAATTTTTCTTTTAAATACCGATCTTTAGGCGAACATTTAAGTGTTGCTACGTATGCCAGTTTTGAGAGGCAGGGAAAATATAGTTAGTAGATATATGGCAACACTTTACCAAGGGGTGTATACACATGCAAGTTGGGAGTGAATAGTGTGGAAATGTATTGTGCAGAATGAACATAATAATTGGAAACGGCTTGGTTTCAGATGAGTTATTTAGTAAGACTATTATTTGGGATTCCTAAGATACGAAATGTGTACTTTATGTATGCGAACTTATAAAAACAAAAATTATGATATCCAGAGTTAGGAATCAGATAAATTATCCTAAGGGGGGAGGGAATGGGGATAGGCGAACATTAAAAAGCCAGTTTTATTTTGAAACTTTGATTTCTTTTAATTACCTACGTTTTATCATGTCCTTATAGTAGATATATATTTCATCATAAGATATCTCAAATATTTGCAGTGGTAATATTAATATTTTAATTAATCAACCAGTAGTATTACTTAAACCTTTAAAATAGAAGAAGCTTAATAATAGGAAACTACTACAAAACTGTTTTATTTTTTTTTCATTACAATTACACACTACATACTTATGTTATCTGTTATAAACTAACACTAATATATACCCAAAATACCTAATATGAATAATGCATAATTTCTACTTCGAAAAACCTTAGTGTTCTGTGATAGCACTTTTTAAATTATTACATCGAATACTCTTTGCGTACAAGCTTCTCGTCTTAATATTTTATTAGTGCTTCGGTTAAAATTAATAATTAAAACCGTAATTAACTAATTATCATTAGGTAATCGTAAAAAAAGAATCAACAAGGACGTCCGAGTAAGTCTATCATAATTTTCCTTTTTATATAACGAACATAAAGTAAAAGGGGCGTGTCCGCGCCGGCTGGGGGCGTGCCTGGGCCGGCGATGGGCGAGGGCGGCCAGCGGCGCCGGTGCGCTCCTCGGCGGCCGCCGGCAGCCGGCGCGGTGTCGCGCCCGCGCTACGCACTCATTACGGCTAAGTATAGTAGTTACACATTACAAGATTACAACAAATCTAGATAATAGTCTTACAATCGTATTATACTTAGTTTGTGGCTCGGTCGCGGTCGCCGCTTCCAATTAATTACATTTTAGGAAATTAATACAAGTCTGTTTTAAATATATAGCCCACTAGCGGGCGTAAAGTAAAACTTATATACTGTCGTAAATAACCATTATGTTAAATATTGTACATCAGTCGATAGTTCACCTAATCAATTTTGTAATCTAATCGATCGAGAATTATGTACTTTAATCCACTATAATGAAAAAAAAATATAGTTTAAAAATAATCAACATCAAAATTTTAATTAAAACAGAAATAAATAACAACTTGCCCTAGGTTTAATGTTATCATTAATCGTACAGCCGTGCAATTTCAATTTACGATAGTCTGCTCAATAATTACATTAATATTATAAATAGCTCTAGTATAAATATGAGGATTTATATTAATAATACCTGCATTGTTTTAAAATAAGTTTAGATTCACTAGAGTATAGTAGGGGGTCGGGTCGAGTGGCGGCTGCTGCGTCGGCCGTGATACGTGTAAATGCGGACGCGTCACGAGTGCGATGCGACACAACTTAAACAACTCCTGCTAACCTAACGTTAACTCTAGGGGGCTCGTATAATATAATTAGTCAATTACGATTATAAGTAAGTATATTTAATGTATAACGCGCACGCCGGACTCCGCGCGTGTGCCATATCAAATACCAAAAATACACTTTTACACAAAAAACATGTCGCTACTGAATAAACATACACATATAAAAACCGCGTACACTATATATAATGCGATACAAACAAGAGTCGAAAGGTTAACTACACAACAGTACTACTGTTAAGCCATGATTAAAATATTATTCCATAAACATTATATTATATAAAGAAATACAGTATGTGTATATCTTATGTCGAACGTTACGGACGTAACGTCAAATGCAGAGGATGCAAGGCGCGGGGCGGGGCGGCGCGGGGGCGGGGCCGCGCGCAGTCGCCGCACATTTGACAGACTAGCCTCTAACGAGTCTTACCGTATTTGTATTTTGCTAACTATTTTAATTAATAAATTCATCCAATATTTTATGCTTTTCTCCTATATAATAATAAAAAACCCATATAAATAGTCTCAATCGATTTTTTTTTCACAATAATTTGCACTAAGTTTAATGTTTGAGTAAATCTAAAATTTCTAATACATATACTTTATTTTAAATAAATTATATCCTTTATGTTTACTTAGAAGATTGCCACGATGGTTCATTACAAACTAAGTTCTTAAAATTGTTCCGAAGGTTCGCGAGTGAGGGGCTCCGGCCCGAGTCTAACCACCTTACTGCTAATTTATTATCACTGAAAATAACATAATATAAATCATCTCTATATTCACTTAACTTTTTGTAAGGCATCGTTTCCTAATATTAAACGGTCACGCTCGGTGGTAGTACATTAACCTACGGCGAGGAAATTATAACCCAAGAGATGGAAACGATATAGTGCGAAGAGGGCGCGGTCGCGCGGGCGCGGGGCGTGACCGCTGCGTACTGCGCGGCCGGGCGAGGAATGAATCGAGACGAAATAAACCTAACTAACATAGGAACGAACAGATTAAGTTAAATAAAAATAAAGCGGAACAAAGCGGGCGTAACTACATACGTAACCTAGAGGCCGGTTTTACACCGACGTTAATCTTTAATATTATTTCAATAAATCGATTTATAAGGTACGAGTTTCAATTTGCTACATAACATTCTCGTCTCAGTCGTTTTAGTAATTAATATACAGAGCTATTAGAAATGTACCAATATCCGCGTTATCTATGAACATCACATCGTAAAGGCATTTTAATTATTTCCTCACTATGTTTTAGATTTAATTTGGGCAGCCGCACCCGCCGCGACGGTGCGCGTCGCTTATAATTTGCCTATTCACCTCACGTAGTTAAATTATATACTTTACTTATGGTGCGATCTTACATAACCCTATTCTATACGATCAAATTATGCACTTGCAATGTATCATCAACAATTCTATTTTAAAAAACGTTTATAACAAACCTTATCGAGCGCCCGCGGGCGCGCCTAGACATTTTTACGTAAACTCTAAGATAATTACAACAAATAATGCGCAGGCGTCGCCGGGGCGCGCCCGCCTCTATCTCCCGCTAATCATTACTTAGCTTATCACTAAAATTTTAATCAGTCGATCGGTCAAATGATTGAGCGATATAGTACAGTAAAGGACTAACATTAAATTTAATCTAACAATGTTATTTTAAATTATAATTCACTTTGCTGCGGGAGACGCGGGCGCGCGCCGGCGCCGGCCCGGAGCCGCGAGGTGCTCGCGCTCTACGCAGACAGCTCGGAAGCTCTATACAGTTTTAAAAATATTTGGCAATCCGCATAAATTAAAAACTTTAAAACTATGTGACGAGAGAATCGATTAAAATTATGCTTTACACACAAGTATGTATATGTACAGAGGACCGCGCGGGGGGTGCGGCGTCTCCGCCATATATCCTAAGTCATTGAGCGTAGTCACTTAACACTTACAACGTTTGCTCATATTATTATTTGCCGGGTTAGTTTATAATTACTTTTAAAAAATCAATTATCGACTTAAAACACTGCAATACAAAACTAAAAAAATCCATATACGAAAAATTAAAATTACGAATATTTATTTATACAGAATTGCTCCCTTTTTAGAAATTAAAAAAAATATTACGGTAAAAATATTATATAAAAATCACGTTCAGTCATTCTATGTTTTGTTTAAATATTAACACATAATTATTCTCATTACATCGCTACGATTTTCCTAAGTCTAGTGGGTGGTAAATAACCAAAATTCTAATATTAAACATACATACCGATATATATACCAAATATTTATACAAGTCATTAGCTTAAGTTAACTTGTTTAGGTAATTTTTCCCTAAATTGGCTTTTTAAACAGTTTCTGTCAAATGTGCGCGGAAGCGTGAGACGAGCGCATCGGGCGCGCCACGTCGCGGCGGCCGCCCGCCGGCCCGGCCGGACCTCACTTAATATATTATTATTAAAAGAAATCATCAAACTTCCAAAGGACAAACAAATTCAAGATTAGATACGAGTAAAAATAAAAAGGGGTTAAGAGCCCACATCCAAAAAGTAGTAATAAGAAAAAATACGATCATTAGGATCAAAAAAGAGGGGCCGCGAGAACTTGGGGGATAAGATAATATCAGACAAGGCAAAGTCGCTCAGCCCACGAGAGAAACATAATGTGAACACATCGATTGACTCCTATCGCCGAGGCGTATTCATTAACCGGTTAGTTGACGCGAGTTTCGTCTTACAATTTAATTTTAAATATATTTTAAAATATTTATTTATTAAAAAACAACACCTTAATTACTCGTGTGGGTTTGTGTTAATGCAGTCATAGGGCGCTTATTTTTGTTCAATATATACTATATAATATTAACTTATTCAAAATGCAATTTTAACACTAAGAATCATACATTTTTCTATATTGCATTGTATAAAAACCTCTTATATTTGAAATATACTTAGATAAACATGATAATATTGATGTTGTTTTTATTTATTTCGATTATATACTTGTATATGATTAGTTTTTGAATATTTGGGGAATTAAAGTCATCAACTAACATCGGTTTTGTCAAGATTCAATATGCAAGTCAGTTAGCGTGGTCTACAAGGACCACACAATTCATCGAACACTCGCCCTTCGTTTAACACTATGCCGCGAATTTTACATACATTAACGAGTTGAAACCGATTGTCTATCGTCGACTAACACAATTTATTTGGCGTAGCTAAGTATCTAGAAAACAAAACTAAATAAAAATGACTGGTATATTGGGGATTTGAAAATTTACTACTTGATAAAGCTACGCCATTGCAACTAATATTTTTATCTTGCAATAATAAACAACACTTTCCCAATATTTATTCTTTTGTATGTGCAATATTTGTCGTTGCGTATAAATCTATATCAATATTCTTCATATTACGTTATATTGTATCACATAATACCAGTCACATTTCGTACAATAGTAATCGCGTATCACGTGATAGCAGAATACATATCACTAAATATGACTTGTATCACGTAATGAGTCATATATCGCGCAATAGCAGACACACTTTGGATGTTAAATGTACTGGAGTTAATTACGTTATTGAGAATTTTATAGGTTTATTATTTAATTTGAACGTTGGACTGGGCACGTCATGAAAGTATTGTTATTGTTGCTAGTTCAATCAGTTTCAACAAAAATGCGACCAACATTTGGGACACGTTGTCAGTCGCGGACATGGGGTGAGCGGCATAGCTAACAACTCCTCCACGTGACTACCGACACGTAACGAGACACAAATAGCGTGGAGTTCTGAGACATCGGACCTGGGAACGGGAGCACCGGTCGGGGCAACATTAAGGGGTTGCTCATGTTGGGGTGCAATGCCGCGGGTCTGTACACTTGTAGTTGTTGGTTAGTGGCAGTGTTTGTGTCGGTGTCGTCAGTGTCGACTTGTGTATCGGTGTCGGTGTCGGTGCGGTTGTCGGCGGCGAGTGTCGGGTGGAGTGGCGATTACGCGGCGTTCCACTCCTTGTTAAAGTCCTGCGCGGCGAAGTGTTTGGGCGCGTGGTGCGGCACGGCGTGCACACCTGGCGGCTGCGCGCCGCCCGCCGCGCCGTGGTACTCGCCGCCGTACGTCCGCGAACCGCCGTATGATGACCCCTGACGTTACCCCACCCGGCTCATTAGTACGTCCCACAATATTACAATATTTCGACGATAAGAGTATCTTGCTGTTGTTCGGAGGTGAGACTGCGGTCATTCAATTTTAATTCAATAACAAAAATATATTGCGTGTACTTGCTTTATGACATATACCAATTTTTACGAACAACAGCAATGTTTTCATATATCGAAATTGGTTGCGTTCGTCTGGGAACGCGAGACGACAAACCGGCCGAAGCCTCGACGGGCCACGCGATCGTCGGAGGCTACGTTATAGGCGAGAATAACTAAAACTGACTACGTATAAAAGCTTAACAGGGTAAACTAAAACATTAGCGGATTATGAACTACAGTTATGGATGGACATTTAGTACAACATGAAGGAGAACTTAATTCTGAATGCACAAGCTCTGCAGCGTCCTGCGGCCGCTGAGATAACGTAGCCTCAGGCCATCGGTCGCGGATGGCGCGGTCGTGCCGCGTGAGAGCCGCGGTGATGCCGCGTTGTGGGCGAGGCTCGCGAGCTGTTACAAACATTGGGCGCTTGGCCGAGGCTTCGGCCACTGACGTCATGAGGGATCGAAATGAGGCCACACGCTCTGTATGTCAATATGCATTTAATATGTCATAATAATATGTAATAGTAATTGAAGGCCGCATTCGACGATGCCCCATGATGTTTTAACACAGTTTTGCTCTCCTAAGTATAATATCTCGTATGATATCTCGTTACATTCCACAGAGTTATGAATTTCGTGTGAACACTTAAAGTACAGCTCTCTCTTAAGATTATTTATTTTTTATCATTAAAATTAACTATTAATGAACCTGTAACAATACGAGAAAAATCCAAATTTTACTAATTTGTACTTTAAATGCCAATTTACATGTGTTGAGATGATACAAGGCGATTGAATCATCTCGCACGGCTACAAAAATAAAATGCAATATGAATATTGTGAACTAAATGTAAGCTTAACAACTAGAGCGGTGCGATGCCTTTTAGGTAGAGCCGCGCGACCGTCGCGATAACCGAACCGTCCATAGTGAGAAATCCCCAGAGTTTCGCGACATGCCCTCATCCGAACCCTTATCTCTAATTGTCTTTCTGGAGGAGCCACTCTTGTGGACCCTGATCGACCAACTGGAAAAGAAGAATTACAAGACATCAAGTCCCACTCGCCACAATGCACCTGTCTCAGGCAGTTATGTAAGTAGCGCAGCGCGTGAACAATGGACCGGGCGAAAGCAATGTAATTAACCCCAAGGGCGGGATGATGACTGAGGGTAGAGGAGGTGGAGCAGGGGAGGCCGGGGCCGGGGGGCGGGAGGAGGCGGCGATGAGAGACCTTCAGCGAAAGTTGACAAGTTTGTTAATCTTCTTGATTTTTCACTATGGATAGCGGTGCGGTGAGCTATTGCCTCGAGAGAGCCGGCTCGCGGTCACATTAGCGGGGGATTAGCGAATACCGTTCGCATTACGAACCGCAGCATAGCTGGTAAAATCAAAAAGACATCGCACGTTTTTTTATCTCGCCACTGAAAGCATGCAGAGGACGATGTCTTCGATATCGAAAGCGTTTCATAATAATCTCAAACGGCACACATTAGCACTAGTCAAGGGGGGGTAGGGGGAGAGGGGGGGAGCACGGTCGCAATCTATAGGGCTCTATTATATGTGACATCATGCTGCAACACGAGCGCAATGTTTGTTTGCATTTCGCTGAATTTCACTCTCTCACCGGTGGTTAAGTCGCGCAAACATTCGTGAATCGCAAACAAACTCAGTAAGTACAACCAAATTGAATGTTGCAACTATCATTCTGTTACATCACTGATGTGCCCCATACAATTGTAAATTAAAAAGGTAAAGGGAATGAACTGTCTTCCATGCGATCTCACATACCGACTACCACGCCAAACTATTCAATGTAGGGATGCGGGACAAAATCAAAGATAAAGCGGAGTATAGGGGGATGATATGGAAAGTAGGAGAGCAAGCCCCGGGGTCTCAAGCAAAAACAAAACTATGTCAACTTGGCTGTACTTTAATAAATAAAGCGCTTCAACCGCTTTTAGCACAAATTATATAAATCTATATCTTGGATAAAGCAGCTGCTAAACTAAATAGAAAAAAAAATAGAAATACTAAGCAAATTATTACAACTTAGTCTTTATCCAAGACATAGTCGATTCACAAAAAGTTTTAAATCAAAGACAGACTGGATAAATCTGTTTTACTTGGTTAGAGAAAAAAATGCACAAAGCAATAAGCACTGCATTTCATGCGTGCTTGTGCGTGAAAAATATATTTACAAATTTTGTAGAATGAGTGAGGCTAAAACATGATTTGTGAGGAAAATTACTAATAGTGAATGAATTAAAAAGTTTTATAAAACTATGATGTTATTAATTATATATTAGTGAAGTAACAAACAAAACATTTTTAATATATTTGTGAGTGCAAACATTATAAAGGAGAGAGTGAAATCCAAAAAAAAACAAAAAAAATATAATAAATTAACTTCACATAATGTATGAACATTAACCCCTTGACGTTAGAAATGTAAAAAAAAATTAAACTTCAATAAAAAAAATTGTACTTGAGAACTTGAAAAAAATCAAGTAAAATATTTGGGAAAACGTACCATGTCAGTGATGCAGAGGATTTTTAAAAATGATAATATTTACTTTAAAATGCCTTCCATTCATTTAATATTTTAGTTTGGACGAACTCAGCTAATTTAGTCACAAAAAGCAAATGAACATATAAACATTTAAAATCGATTTATTGCGATTTAGGAATGGGATGAAAAAGATAGAAAACCGTTTCGATATCAAAGACTGAATGATTATCACTTGTAATTGTAAAAAATTTATTACTCAAAATTGTTTTTAAAGCAATAAATAATTACAAATACAAGAGACAGTATTAAAATAGGATTGTCCTATAAAAGCATGAGACATATGTTAGCTATAAATTAGTAGCATTATTCAAAGCAAAATGCAATTTTTTAGTAAATTCAAAATTCTGTGAAAAATGCGATATAAAAAACCAACACCGTGTTAAAATATGATGTGCATTGTATCATGGCCCATGCTGAAAATCTTAATACTAAAACTGTGGCACTTCTCTACATAAACACTGTATAAAACATTTGTATTACTCCCAAAATAACACAATGTTTTTAATTAAACACATGTGTTAACCCTTTGACGGCCGTTGATGTATATTTACAAGGTATACGATGAAAAGGTTAACATAATATGTTTAACCTAGAATTTAATTAAAAATGTTCTAATTTTGTTTATAGAAGCCCACAGTCATGTTCACACACAATCGTCAGTAAATGTTTTGTGATAAAATACACAAAAAATTTAATGACGAAGATAAAAGTTCATTGATATTACAAGTCTTATAATATTGTTTTGTTCAACTCAAAATTATGAAGAATAAAAACAACTAATGTTTTATTTTAATTAAAATAAAAATAAACATAAAACTTGTCAATTTCTAGCAAATATACAACTAAATATAAGCAATATCTTTTCTAACATATGACGGATTTACTTAATTCAACACGTCATTGTACTAAAAATGATATTACTAAACTTTAGTTTGCAGGGGAATTATCTCATCATACCTGGAGATTACATTAAAAAGTTATTATTTTAAACTATTATAGAAATCTAATTAACTCCATTTTAAAACACCGTTAATATCATCCAGTATGATCCAGATAAGTCTATATACTAGTAGAAATATAACTATTGTATGCGGTGACGGCCACTTTGGAAAATTCCAATTATATCTTTTAAAAACATTAAATGATTTTAATTTGCATAAAAACAACAAACATACAACTTAACCTCGCTCGACATATAACAAAATGGCCGACACGCCGCCATCTTGTTCATACAACATACTGCGTGTATACGCGTGCACATACCTGGTCCTGCTGGTACGCGGGCGGGTACTGCTGGTACGTGGAGTACTCGGAGGAGGACTTGTTGAGCGCGGCGGAGGAAAGCGCCCCGGTGAGTGCGGGCGCAGCGCCGCCGCCGCCGCCGCCAGCGCCACGTCCGTACATCTCCCCGCTCTCCGACAGCGGCACATACGACCCTGCGGCGTGCACATACATACCTACAGACTATGTACTATGCACTATCTCATACTTTATATCTATATATACGTAATTAACAATAAATAAACACATTATATGGAACATTAACATTGACCTTTATTAATGGACCGGCTATAAGGCGTAGTATTTTGTGACTATTTGATTTTAGGCAACATGGCACTAATGGTAACAATATGGATAGAATTAACACGTCTCACCAACAGGGACCTTTTAAATCAGAACGATGCACAAACTGTTCATTTATAGAGGTCAGTGTATATTAAATTAATCGACAATAGACTGACGCGTTCAGTTTGCTCAATTATAACCTTAAAACAACGCACGCCTCATTACGTACTACAGACCAGAATTTTCTCCAGATAATTTTGGTAACAAATCCGTAACTCTTGTAATAATTGGTAATGTTTGATTGGATCGTGTCATAATATAAGATATGACAACACTTAACACCCAAATTAGTAAAATATGGGGATTAATTTATAAAAAAAAATAATAATTTTTTCAATTTATTCTAAATAATATTAGTAGGAATTAAACAATATAGTAAAGGATGAAATAATTTGTTGCAAACCTGATGATCTCTACAATCCAAAGGGAGAGAAAGTGATTATAAGACTGCAATGCTTTACCACAAACATCTGAACGTACCAACGACAAAAGTAGTCAAGGGCACTGCCTGGATGTGGAAGACGTCATTTAAAAAAATCTACAGACTGGCTTATGAAGTTCTATTTATCTAAAATTTATTTCTATTTTAACAAATATAAGTGAAATTTATTCATGAAAAGAATATTAAAAAAAATTGTTATAAATTTTCTAGAACGTGCATAATCTTGATATTCCCAATTTTTATTTTTAACCACACTTAACAAAATTTAGTTAACTATCTAAGTAACCGAGAAAAAAATTAAAACAAATTCGTAACTAAAAAACCGCGAAATACTGATTTTTTGAAATTAACAAATAACAACTACCCGTACACATATCACCGCGAGTTAAAGATGAAATAACAGGAATGTAAATGGCCGACTACAAAGATCGTTCATTCTCTCTATTTTATTGTTTTGTCGAGAGAGTGGGGTATGATTATGTGGTTAGGTGACAGTGGACTCACCGGAGCCGGTTGAGTTGGAGTTCTGCGGCATGTTCCAGGTGGTCCACGAGCCGCCGGCCGACGCGCCCGCCGGCGCTGAACTGTAGTTCGCTGCACACACAAACGTTACGTCAGCGATATACAGGACAATGCCGGTATTTTAAGCCAAAAAGTGGCAAAGAACGGACGTTATTACTCGTAACGAAATTAAGAAAGGTGCGCGTGGTGGCAAACATTGGCCAAACAGCGCGCACTCCGCCCACGATTTCGCGTATTGATCGGTTTGGCCATGGATTGTGGTAACATATAAGGCCAAGCTCACTTTAGTTGGCGGACACTGATTTAGCCAGGAAAAGCAAATTATATAACCCAGTGTTTTTCAACCTATGGGTTGTGAACCCCCGTAGGGTTCCAAAAACATAACCCCACTAATTTTTAGTGATTATGGTTACAACTTTTTTCTTCGTAACTCCGTATTCACGGAATAATTTAGTTCACCAAAAGTGTCTTATTCAAAAGGTTGAAAAACACTAATAAAAGAAAATTTAAACGCGGGATAAAATTTGCGCGAAACGCAAAAGCGAGTGTAGGGGACTGTGTGATTTTTTTTAATCGACGATTTATTTAATTACAAAATGATTGCAACAATTAATTAATATTTGATATTGCAAGGCTGCGGGAAGCGTAAGCACGGTTAACACATTAAATGCTTTGAATTCCAAAACGTTGCGCATTTATCAAACGTCCATCTCTTCCAAACTATGTCCAATTTGTTTGGCTCCTCCGTCATTCCTCTTGACTTATCTTTTTCCGATACTTGACTAAATTTTTGCTCGTATTTTTAGTCCACAATATTTAGAATATTCATTATTCAACATTTTAAAGGGACGTAGTTACGAAATATAGCGTAATTTTAAATCAGACTACAAAATTTCACAAAATAATTTATACATCAAAATAATGAAAGTAAAAAACATTTTGATTAATTTTGGCAATTTATTTATTTCCACCTTTTCTATTTCGATACCAAATTGATGTGTCGTCACGTCAGCATTCATACAACCTAAAAGTCTTGAGTAGGCACAAAAAGGTACATTTGTTCTTGCAAGACATTGTTTCTTGCCACGTAGATGTTTTCCATTTCCAACTCGAAAGTGTCTTTTAGATGCAGTTTGCAACTAATTTGTTTATATTACTAGTTTTTTTTGTATATTGCGGCAAATAAGCTTACAAGAGTTACGGATGCGTTACCAGCATGTCATAAAGAGGAAGGTAAGGGAAATGACCAACCTAAGTGTTTACTGGTAATGTAGCTGCGACGATGTTCAAACATAAAAATATAGATTTTAAATATAGCGAAAATAACTGGAAAGGAGAGTTGGGTGTACAGTGTAAGCTTCAGCTAATAGGAGTATATTAAAACTAAAAGGCAGCTGTGTCACGAAATTTTAAACAAATTAAGGAGAATAAACTTTGTAAGGAACGAGGGATAAAAATAGGACAGGTTTTACTAAGTCGAGCGTAAGCTTGAGCTGTATAACTTGTATGTGTACATGTGTCGGGGTCACTGACCTCTATAAATGGACAGGCTATAACAAAAGGTATTTTGTGCCTATTTGATTTTGGTCATTCTGGCGTTGACAGTTGCGGTTTACAGCGGTGGTCAGACACTTAACGTTACTTCAACAGACGCGTTTAATTCGGTAGGAAGCAAAAGCGGACACTTCAAAGCAAGGACATATCCATTGATCGAGATGTGTTGTGTGGTCTGGTGGTGGTGGTGGTGGTGGTGGTGGTGTACATACCGTAGCTGCCGTATCCCTGCGCCGGTGGCTGCGCGTGCTGCGTGTAGTTGTTGGTGGCGGGCCAGGCGGGCGCGTGCGGGGGCGCCTGCGGTGCGGGCGGGGCGCCCCAGCCCTGGTAGTTGCCGGGTCCGGCGCCGCCGCCCGCCGCGCCGTATCCCGCGTACGACGTCTGCCCCGGGGACGTGCCCCAACCTTGGTACCTGACACACACAATTCACTCGTCATGCTATCTAGAAACGGAACTATTAGTATGAATGTTTTCAGTTATCTTGGCGGCTCTTAACTATGGGCGAGTCGCTATGCAGAATACAATTTTAGGTGAAGTGGGGCGTGGCATGATGTGGGACTGGGCAGCGCGACGATGACCCTAGATCGCCAACATATTTAAAAAAGTCATACTAGCAATTTCATTCTGATACTTTAAGAACCTTACGGTATTACTATAAAATTCGATACAGTAAATAGCAGCACTTTGAGCAAGATATGAATGAGTCCAGTGGGTTGCTAAAAGGCTCACCCTTGCATGATGTTGGGTCCAGCCATAGGCATATTGATGGGTGGGCCTCCCATCTGTCCGTTGTGACCCTGGATCATGTTGATGGGTGCGGCTTGCGGCGGGCCCCACTGTCCGGCTGCGGGCGCGTCACCGGGCGCTCCGCCCATCGCGCCGCCTCCCATACCACCGGACCCTGAGCCCAGCTTGCCGGACCCGTCGCGGGGCTCCGCGCGCTTGATCTCCACCTGAAAGTTATTAGAGAGTCAATGATCGCCTTTGGTTGACAATGTAATAAAAAAACAAGTTTCGCGTAAGTTTCGAAAATATTTAAATGTTGCAAACTTTGTAGGCTCCATAGCTTATAGAAAGTTAAAGAGTATATGCTGGTTTGCTTTGTTGTACCACAAACATCTGAACGTACCAACAACAGAAAAAGTTGAGGGCACTGCCTGGATGTGGAAAAAAATTGCCTATGGATACACAAAGAGGTATTTTATAAACATCTGACTGTAATCACCTGTTTGCCGTTAAGGTTGATGAAGTGCTCCTGAGTCACTCTCTCCACTGACACCTCGTCCTCGAACGACAGGAAGCCGAAACCTAAAACATATAAAAAGCTTTAACATAGCCTATTCAATATAGATTTATTTTTATAAAAGGCGTTATTTCTCAAGTATTAAAAAGGTCAACATCAAGTAAACCACTTTTTAGTTATCTTTTTTTACCTCAGATATCCATCAACATAATATAGTTACCAGTGTAATGTGATCAATAAACTTTATTCAGACAACACTTGTCTACTAATATGTTGATAGGACACATTATTTAATAAAAATAATAAAGTAAAAAATAAACACCGACAGCCGAAAGCGACCACTGAAAAAGTTATCAAGAAACAAAATACAAGGATGCATGCTCAGTTTGAAGAATACAAGGCAAGGATAGTAACATTACCGAAACACTCATACAAACATATTTCCATCTCTCTTATTCTCTTTGGAAAAACAAGGATAACAATATGTACAAGTATCTCAGCATTGGAAACACTAATAGTAACACTATGCGACATAAGCCACATTGATTCAACATCGATTATTTACGAATAATTTTATTTATTTACTATAACTTTATTAAATAAATATATATGCTTTTATTTGCAGGAAGACATGTATTTATTAAGCACAGATTTTTATATATATTAATATTCAAATGTATCAATTTGTTATATACTTATAATAAATTTATATACATCTACAACAGTCCATTCAGTTTATATAGTTTTTAAACTATTACATACCTAGCCTTCGTTCAACTAGGTGAAAAAGAGACAATTTGTTTAACAAATTCATCTTTACATTAAAAATTATTGTAAACTTCAATTACAAGTTAATTTACGAGCTAAACTTATTAACCTCAAATTCTAATAACTTTATCTGTTTACATTTTAAAACTAATAACTTTTTTAAATCATAAAAAAAGCTAGAAAGATCTTTTACTCAAAACAAAGCCAAATTCGTATAAAAGACTAATTAAAAATGTTTTGCTAAGCTATATTAAAGGCATACTAAGCCAGTATCTGCTAAAATTTATTTTACCTGGTATATACAGTTTTAAGGATGATATAAATCAATGATAACTTTATAAAATTTATATGATATTTGGGTGTATCAATAGCCAAATTATGTCTGTACTAGCCCAACAACAAAGTAAAAATAAATTGTTAATTTTTATAACATTTAAAGAAAATCTTATCATATTACTAAACATTTTAATGGCTTAATCTATTTGGCAATTGAAACATCGATTTGTGAATGAGTGAATCAATTTTGTTTGGTTAAACTAGGTTTTAAGAGGTGATATAAAATTGTTAATTTATATTGGTTATTACCTCTCGACTTCTTCTTCTCTTGGTCGTACATAATGACGACCTCCATGACCTTGCCGTAGCGGCCAAAGAACATGCGCAGATCGGTTTCGGTGATGTTGGAGGGCAGACCACCGAGGAACACCTTGGGGTAGCCACCGCCGCGCTTTGGCTTCTGCAGCGTGCGGGGATTGCACGGCTTCGGGTCGATGGTTCTGTGAACAAATTGATTTTACATCTCTAATGAAAAAGTAGTCTAGAACCCACTACAATGACTTATAAACTACTAACTGTAAAAAAAAACTGTAGCTCATGCAGACCATAGCTACTAATTCATATAGGCATATAACGTTAGTCTAATCTGGAATTACGTGGTAACCAACATCAATACATCTAAATGTCTTAAAATTCACCTCCTACGATTCCTACCTTTTAAGGAAAGTAGTAGAACATTTATCAAATAATTTTATACAATCAATAGAATTTTTACTTTATTCGATGATTGAATCAAGCATATTCAACAAATTTTTCTAACAGCTACAAAAGGACACAATCCCGTATATAAAGCCATATTGTTTTAATTACCCAATAAACTAGGAGCGCGTGTTACAAGTGTTAGAACACGTGGCATAGGGTACGCATAGGGGAAACGTTAAAACAAAATGGAGGGCGGCTACGAGGGTGTGTACGAGAAGCCAATGTCATTCTGTTGCATGATTAAATTACAAATGCGTATCTTTTACTTAGTAATAACAATACTACTAACATTGTCACAATGATTCATTGTCGCAAAAAAAAACTTTCCTTGAAGTTAAAGATTGAAGAGTCTTTCTTGTGATTTCAAAGAATATTAGTTAAAACAGTTATAAATATTTAAACCTGTTCCAAAATTGAATTCCTTAAATCGACAACAGTGGCAAATTTTGCGTAGGTTGTTGGCTTTGCAGGTTGATTGTGCGGACAAAGTGAACGTGGGTGTTTGATAACCTTTATCTTTTGCTTTAATTATTCTAACCTATTCAAGTGTATTTTAAATAAACTACTAAGATTTATTAATACGAAAATCTAATAGTTCAAAATCGTTAAAAGAGAAATACTAAAATAAAACCTGCTTCTACATGCATATTAACGGAGATTTATGCATTGAATGTGTCAGAAATGCCACAAAGTCATCGAAGCGTTAGCACGAGAGGTGACTTCGTAGTGACGTTTGCCAGTTGGTCGACCCCAACCATTGAACTCCGGACAGAATAGACCGAATACTTATCGAAACCGGGACTTTGCGGTCCACAGTTATTGTACAAATAATTTTATTGCCACGTTCCTTCTCAAGGTCACCTTAATTTGTGCTATACAGCTTGCAAATAATTAAATTTTTTGTATTTTTCCTTAATCATTGTATAAAGCAATTTTATATTATGACGTAGCATTCAATATGGCAAAATTATTTATGTATTCACAAACATCAGAGGTCCGACTCCTAATGTAAAGGACACAAAACGAGCCGGACGGCGCGTACTAACGACTTTTTTATAAGTATAAACGCGAAGGGCATTCACCCGATGGTATAGATACTTGTTTGTGGTATAGTTACGCGGTATACTATAAATGGAATCGCAATATAAGCACGTTACAGTTTGGTAGATAGCTTCTGCTGCTCTGCAAGAAGTTGCAGAATCAGGAATAGTATGTTCCCTTTATCGAGCTTTCCATAACTTGTAAGGATAATTCAAAGCTAGCCACAAACTAAAACTATATCAACAAAAAAACAAATAATTAACGGAAATTACAAAAATTATAATAGTGTTAAAGTATTTATTTAATTTAAACATAAAATATTTCTGAAAACGTACGTATGCATATTTTCAATTTAACTTTGCTCATTTTCATTATTCTAGATTAAAAAATGTGTAACAAATTTCTACAATATCGCAATCATAATTTGCAAACACTCGCCTACATACCAGACTTGGTAAATTAAAAAAAGAATAGCTCAACAAAACATTGTATTAAAAAATATTTTTAGGTAAAAACAACCTGAATAATCTAAGAATTTTGTGAGTAAAAAGGATGGGTTGGCTAACGGGGGCGATGATACGCCTGCGCTGCGTATTCCTTGAAATTTTCTATTGATTGCGTTTTATGATATTCCAGGAAGGCCGGGATGCGTACATTGTTCTAGATAAGTAAACGCCACGAGGACAGTATAATCCAATACTGATTAGTGTAATGGATTATAAATCCATAGTCGATTACATTAATATTTGATGCTAGTCCACAAATATCAATCTTCTACATGAACTTTTACTAACGACGTTTGAGCAAACTAATCTCGTTAGATCTAATCTATTATTTTTATATTCCATAATTTGATATAATTATCATAATGAGTATACATCAGCATTATATTAGTAAAGATGGGTTTCTGAGACCAAAAATCCTCTCTCCACCTCTGTTTTGTTAAAGCTAACTATATCAAGATACGTTTTATAGAGATTATGGTCTCTGAAACCAACGATTAGTCTTACATATTAGATACATTATATTATCTTGTATAATGTATGCGAAGTTTTGAGAGAAACATACATAATAGTGGTTACTGACAAGTGAGATGCAAGTGCGTGTATCCATTGCAGCCTCCAGCTCTTCCACAGTCCTATTGGTACCACCGACAATTGTTTGTGTCCATTGTCATACGGGACGTGTTTGCATTTATCATTCGTGGCGTACAAATTGAAAATTGCTTGTAATCGAGATTAAACAACTTTATTATTATATTCTAAATGTATTTAAGGATATAAACTTTTGTTTTCTATCATTTGTTCTATTTGCTCAAGGTCTAGATGAATTTTAACAAGGAGTCCTTCCTTTTCTCAACCTGTTCATAAGTACTAAATGTCGATTTACAGCAAACGAGGCGTATGACCTTAATGCAAACTTAACATAAATGGCCCTAATCAATTCATAAGCAGCGAAATATCGGCGTTCAGGAATTCGTTAAACAAGGCACTGCCAATACAAAATTATATTTAATCCACTGTTATAAAGTTTAAATTTACATATAAAAGTGCACTAAAAGTGATTTATACATAATATACATATGGTAATCAACTAATTTGCAATACAATAGTTAGACAAACAGTTGAAGTTTACCAAATAATGGTGAACTATTAAGATTGATAATATTAGAGGTCAAATACAGTCGAGTTTATCGAATTCATATAAGCAATACTTTCAATAGTTATAATAAAGGTTTGAAATAAGCATTTTATGCGTATAAATAAGTAAAAATCCAAGTATCGATTTCTTATCTTGTTTAAAATATATCAGTCGTGGCCCGAGGTATAGTTCCTCGACCTGCTTTAATATTTATTTTCGATATGTGTTTGGATTTAAAATAAAACTTCTTCTTATATCTTATTTGCGTGTAATAATCAATTTTAACAATTTCTTTTAACAACGTTAAGTGCTAACAACATCGGTTAAGTGAATAAATTAAAACAGTAGTCGCGCCCCGTAGTGGTGTCAAAATGAAAAACGTCATCGCGCGCCGGCCAATAGGGTTTCCGAATAATGTTAATGAAGTTATATGCAAGTGATGCGTAGACATGCCCCCCGCCTTGGAGCATATGCCTCCAACGATGATGGGAGAAGAAGAATAAGAAGTTATGATTCATACTCCTCCTTCAGAAGTGGACATATCCTGGGATACGATCTTTGTATCACTCCGTTAGCTGTTCGAATGTCAGCTATGCGTGCCAGTCCATCTTTTCCAGGGAAAGTGCGTATGACTCGTCCAAGGCGCCATTTGAGTGGTGGCACATTTTCATCTTTGATGAGTACCAAAGTGTTTGGTACTATGGTGTCGGTGTTAAACTGCCATTTAGTCCTCGTCTGCAGCTCAGCAATGTACTCCTGCGACCAGCGTTTCCAGAAGTTCTGTCGTATTTGCTCGATGCGTTCGTATCGGATCAGGCGTGAAGTGTTTGCAGTTGTGAGATCTTCACTTGCAGGTGCAACGAACGGTCGGCCAATCAGGAAATGGGCTGGTGTGAGAGGAAGTAGGTCGTTTGGGTCAGAAGACATGGGATACATGGGTCTGGAGTTTAGGATGGCTTCAATTTGTGTTAATAATGTAGAAAATTCCTCATAAATAAGGTTCACATTCCCTACACGTCGAAGATGGTATTTGACCGACTTGACCCCTGCTTCCCATAAACCA